TGCCCTGCCCTGCCCTGCCCTGCATGTGTAATGTAGACTCGCTTGCGATTAGAAATGTGCGACGAACATCAGGGACATACCACTCGTGACTCACGACTCCGTAACTGGAAGTGCCTGCGTGGAAAGGGCGAGCTGTGCAAGACTGCTGTCGTCCGGTCTCGCCAAGCGCACATCTATGTTCACGTTGTCTTCATGCAAACGCTATAGATGGCACCGCGCTCGCAAATTCAAAGTTTGATGTGAAGGTGCTCGTCGGCATGAGACGCATCGAGCATGATGAGCGATCAGAGATGCGATAGCATCGGCGCGAATGCATGCAGAGAGAGAGAGAGGGGCAAGTCAGCAGAGAATGACCAGCAGAATTGCGGCGGCTGCAAGCTGAGCGACTCGAGCAGTCAGAATCGTGACAGTCTTGCTCAAGCCTGCGCTGCTGCTGCTGCTGATCGCGAGGGCACCTCAATTCGTTATTGCCACCATGCAGCACGAGGTCCGCGCCAGTCAGACCGAAGGGCTAGCTATAGCTAGGGCCTAGCTGTTATGGACGCCGCCGGTGCGTGCCTTGCTTCAGAGTCTGGCGGCCACATAGTTGCGCCCACTCTGCCATAATGCTAAAGCGATGAGCCTTGGTCGCGATGCTCGTCATGCAACGAGAGCATGCGGTCTGCCGGCGCATCGCAAGCCATCACATAGATCGTGGCCACACGCAAAGGATGCTATTTCGGCTTCCGGAGCATTGCCTAACAGCCTTGTCGATCGACGATTGTGACCTCGTGCACCCAAGCAGCAAGTAGTAGGCTTGCCATCGGTGAGGTTTCCCGATTTGCGCTTGCTCCGTCTTGCTACTCGAAGGTGCCGCTTCACCGGCGGTTCTGCGCGTCGACCATCGTGACGCGAAATAGACCTGGGCCGTCCTTTTCAGTCTCTGTTGCTGGGAAGCGCTCCTCCAGCTTGTCCGAGACTAGCAGTCCCGCAACGGCGACCGCTTTGCAAGTGGAATAGGAGTCAGACGCACGAGTGCAAGGAGAATGCCAAGTCAGCAGGAGAGTCTCACCTGCCAAGCCAGCGCCAAAGATGAGTCTGCTTTTAGGAGTCAATGCTGGACGGAGAGAGCAATTGCTCTCAGCGGGCCTTTGACGCAGCGAAGAACAAGTTTGATCAGCAGACCACGCTCACCGAGATAGCTTTGCCAAATGCTCTTTGATGTGCCAGATCCGATCTTGAGTCTGTCTCCGCCAGGTGGAGTCGTGGGTCCAGCTGAGCTGGGAGGCTCCCGCGTCGCTCGAGAAGCTCGGCCCCTTCTCGGGCTGCCATCAAGGAGGGCCCTGGCTGGAAACATCTTGAGAAATTCCGTCCAGCAGACTCTTCAGAGTAAGAAGGACCAAGGAAGGAAGCTCATGCGGGCGTGCAAAGCACGTTGCTGAGGACGATACCATGCATCCTTTGCGTAAGAGGTGTTGCATCCACATGATTTCATCAGATTCCGATTGCTCTCTCGATTCGCGGCACGCGTCTGCGCGACCAACACCGTCTCGGCCGAGACGCTTGAGAAGTTGTGATGGCTTTAGAACTCGACCACATGCAAATGGCGAGTGAGGTCTTGGTGAGGTGCAATCACTTGAGCTGCAACAAGCGTCACTTCTTCTGGTCGTGCATATCAGACTCGTTCCGACTAAGAGCTACATCCACGCTGGATGTTCCGAGCTCAAGTCTCAACTGCTGCACTATAGATATAGATATAGCTGTCGCACGGTCAAGCACAAGTCAAGACCGGATTGTGGACATGTCTGACCTTCGCTGTGCGGAACGTGCAGTATGGTACAATGAGAATGAAGCACGGAGTGCGGCGTCATAAAGATGGTCAGTGTTTGGAGTCATGCTTTGGTCTTGGGCGACCTGTGCCTAGCCTGCGAATTGAAGAAGAGTTCGATGTCCTGGCAAGGCCCGTCGAATGAGCGAAAGTGGGCTTCTGGGGTTGGACATGTGCTGCAGAAGTCGACCCCTCGCCCGCGTCAGGGTCGGGGCTTGATTCGGGAGGGAGCAGACTCATCATACTGGCTAGGCTAGATTTCGCCGCGGACTGAGGGGCGAGCAGAGACTGGGTGAGGACTCTGTGCAGTCCTTAGGGCTCGAATGACTCACTTGGAAGCTGTCTAGATCCGCCACTTGTCTGCGGGGTCTCTCCGTAATGACAGCCTCGTCGCCGTAGCCCTCCCGCTGAAGAATCTGCCGACCACTTCCTGCATGCAGCTTTGCTGCGCTCGAGAAGCCAGTCTGGTGCGGTCCAGCAGCAGCATTGTGGGGTCTCGATGGTGAGCTCGACCAGCTTGTTGACATTCTCATCTCGGTGCCTGGCAGGCAACTATTCTTCAAGCGTCTGTTGGGACCTCCAAAGCCGCCTTGGGCTCTATTGTAGCTATTGAAGTCGAGCCCATAAGCATCTTTGTAACCATGAGCTCGATACGAGCCATACGCTTCGCCTGTCAGCGCATCATCATAGCTCGTCCAGGTCCTTTGCCTTGGTCCTGGTGACGGCAGGTCTATAATCCTTGCAGTGTTCGAGCGATTGCTGACCACGCGCTCGAGGATGATTCAGTCATGCGCTCGCACTGGCGCTCCGCTGAAGCATTGCGAAGGGTGCAACTCACAACTTCGCTATGCTATCGCTGACGGTCTCTTCGTAACCGCCGGGCAATTGCCTCTCCAGGATTGCCGCGATGTCGCGGCGGTGCGCCTCGGTGAGCACTGGGCGCTGTTGATGGCTGAAAGCGACTGGAAGCGGCGCCATGTTCGAGCCGCGTCTCAGAACAGCCGGATTTGGTCCGCCAGCAGCCTGTCCCCCACGGTGGGCTCGGTCGGCTAGTGGAGAGACGAATTGAGATAAGATGCGGTCCGCATTCTCCATCTGGCCTCCAATGTGGCGCTGAGCTGCGTGTGTCAAGTACAGATTTGTCTGGGCGCGACTGCACGCAACGAATAACAAACGACGCTCTTCCGCGATCTGTTCTGGAGTGGTGCTACGATAGAAGCTGATGCCCATCGCAGACGGTGGAAGGTCAGCTCAACCATGACAAACGGGCTCGCGTTGGCATGCAACACCGGGGCTCACGGAAAGCTTCCATCTTCTACCCCTAAAACAAAGACGACTGGAAACTCAAGACCTTTGGCAGCGTGCGCAGTCTGGAGATACTCGGACAAGATGGCTCAGCAACCCATCAAGAGTTGTGGACTTTCAGACTCAAACTCACCGAGATCGTAACTTTGGGCCCATCTTGCTCCGCATCACCCTCGCTGTGCATGTCTGTACTTAGCGTGCAAGCCTCGAGAAACTTTGCAAGCGGTGCATCGGGTTGTATTTGAGTAGTTTCGGACGCATTTGGCTCTCCGTCAGACGGTTGTGGGTCGGACGTGTCCTCCACCTCGTCTGAAGGCATCTCTGTTTTGGGTCTTTTGGCCTTGTCCGAGCGCCGCAGAGCGTCGCCTTGACGCTTGAAGTCTCCAGACAGGACGGAGGAGGGCTTCGTCGATTTGGAAGATTCTTTGAAATTCGCACTGACAAATTGGACTTCGTCATCAGATTCTGTCTTCACGCTCTCAAGTGACTGCTCCAGCTTCCCAAGCAAGTTTGATGCGCCTTGGCTCGCAGAGCGCGAAGTTCGTTCTTCAGCGGGCTCTGTCTTGACAGGTAGAGCCGCGCTTTGCACGCCTGCAACGTCGTCGGCTTCTCCTCGTATACCGCTTCTGCTATCGCGAGCGTCGTGCTCGTCGAGACCTGCCTTTACGTTCTCTGACTGAGTCGCTCGAGCGGACACATCCTTGACATCATTCGCGGAATCGTCTGCAGCTTCGTTCTTGGTGCGTTCGAGCTGTGATCGCGGCTGTACATCTTCAACACCTGATTGCCTGATAATTTCAGCGAAATTGATTAACTCCTTCACGTTCTCCCACCTGCTCGTGTCAGGACACCCGGATGAGTCAGTACAGTGCGCCATCTCACTCCTGCAGAGATCCTGTAGCACTCACCTAGACTCGTGTTCGCCAAGCTTGCGGAGGTAGTCTTCGAAGTTGGTATACTTTACGACCGTCTCTAGAAGCTCGGCAGCGGTGCGTCCCTGGGGCGCATCAAGACACAGGGCGGGCCGTAAGACTTGCCATCGACGAGACCCGCTGCACATGAGGGCGACGCACCTTTGTGGCTTGCCGGCGGATGCGTGAAACGATGTCCACGAACTGCTTCAAATTCTTTGTGACCGCAGGTTTGATACCCTGGAGCTTCTTGGTTCCATGCACCAGCTGCTCTGCAAGCTCCATGGGCTTCATGCTCAACTCGCGCGCTTTCGTCAGCAGCTCTTGCACAGACTTGTCGCCAATAGATCTTTTGGGTACATTGACGACCCGAACGAATGCTGATACATTATTCGGGTTTGCTGCTAGAGTGAGATACGCGAGCAAGTCTTTCACCTGCGCGAGCAGCTGCCAATAAGCTCTTGAGAAGGCGCGAGAACTGAAACGCGTAGACGCTCACCTCGACACGATCGAAGAACTTAGAACCGCCAAGCATTTTGCTTGGAAGACCCTCTTGTTGCAAGGCTTTTTCAACCTCGCGTGATAGAGCGTTGAAGCGCAGCAAGATTGCGAACTGAGACCAAAGTAAATCAATTGTAAGCAATTGTTTAGCACGCGACACAGCAAATGCGAGCTGCCAAACGCAGCTGCCTCACATCTGCGTAGCCAAGGAGGCCTCCTGTGTGCGCGATGAGGCGCTTGATCTCGGTCGCAATGAATTGAGCCTCGCGGCCAGCGCTGGATGCCTGCTTGAGTACGACAGGCACTCCTAGAGGATGGCTTGTGCGCAGGCCACGTTTGATGCGCTCCTTGTCCTGCTCGATGATCCGCAAGCACAGGTCTAGAATATTCCCAGCGGATCTGAAGTTCTCTTCCAAATTGACTCGCATCGTCATAGGATAATGGTTCGTCATCTTGTTCAAATTTTCGATCTCTGCGGATCTCCAAAGATAGATGGATTGATCTGACTTGCCGGGCAGACAAAGCACAGACTAAGAATCGACGGGCACGCAGTGATCGCATGATGAGAACGCTCACCTGGGTCGCCGACAATGCTGAGACCGCAAGGCGTAGCAGGAGACTCAGCGGTTCCATCTGCAGCTAAGACCAAACCAGGCGCTTGAAGAAGATTCGCGGTAGTTGCCGCAGCAAAGCACTGCATCAAATCGTACTGGACGACGTTGGTGTCCTGCAGAAGGGTCCTGATGAGTCTCAGTAAAGCGGCACGATTATGAGTAAAGCGTCATTTTGCATATTTGTTCCGCACCTGGAATTCGTCGACCAGCTGACGAAAAGGGAACGTCTGAGCATTTTGTGGCGGATTGCTAGCTTCACCCATGTGTGACTCACCACATGAACGATATCATCGACGACCTCCCTGTGCTGAAGGAGCTTACATCCCTTCAATAACAGATCGTCGAAATCCAAGCATGAGTTTTGCTCCAGTCGCTGCTCGTAGAAGACGTATACATCGGCGATCGCTGTGCGCAGCGTCGTCGCGTCCTTGCCCTTCTTGGCTGACTCCTTTGCAAGAGCAGCTTCAAAGTGCGACGCAGTGTAGCCTTTGGACTTTGCTTTGCTGATCTCCGTGGCTGCTTGATCTGGTGTCACCTTGATGCCATGAGGCGCGTTGTCGAATTGTTCCTTGAGAATCTCTTTCAGGACTTTTTTACTGTGCAAAGAATAGATTCAGCGGTCAGCATTGCTGCATTTGAGACGTCTAGTTGCGCTGGTGCCTTACCTGTCATCAGCGTCTAAGATGGAGAAATTGTTGGCCAGGCCAATTTTCTTTCCATGCCTCCTGAGGTACCTTGCCATCACCGCGTGGAACGTTCCTTAGAAAGTTCATGACGGGTGAGTCGCTCGCTGCTGACATAAGCAGGCCCTTGACTTACCCAGGACAAGTCTTCTGGTGCGTTCGGTTCCAATCAGCTTCTCCAAACGCTGTTAGACGACTCAAACCCACTTCAGACCGGCATGAGAGCAAGAAGTATTTCTGCGAGGACCCTCACTTACCGAGCGCATTTCCCTGGCAGCTTTGTTCTGTCAGCCGCAAGGAAAAATTTGGTAAGTGTCACTCCGGATACCTTCTTATCACACCCAAATGGTTTCCACGTCACTAAACTGACAGTAAACGTGATCATCACTATGGACTCTGGCATGATCTTGTGGTGCAGCACTAGCCAAGCGGCTCTGCTCGTGAGGACCCTGGTCTTGCCACTTCCAGGCCCAGCAAGGATCTGCAGTGGCTGAGCTGGAGGCGAGGTACACGCCTGACGCTGCGACTGGGTAAGAATTGACAGATACGCTGTTGAGCTAGCGGAATTGATGGAGTGTTCCGCGGCATTATGATTGACACGAGAGGAGGATCCTTCTCCGTTCCGAGACGGAACCGCTGAGGAGGTCATCGCTCTGATGTAATGAAGCTTTTTGCCACTCGCCGAATGCGCTTGAACGCTGTTCACTCCGATACGACTGAGCCAGACCTGCACTGTTTGGCTACGTCGAAGCATGACTCGTGACTGATAGTAGTGGATGTCAGGAAGACGGGCTCTCGAGACTCTTCTGACACGCATTCAATCACGCGTGCGGTGTCGGGAGTGGCTTCGCATTTGAAGATCTTGCGCACCGCGTCCTGGACAGCTTTGCGGACGCGCGGACTGCATGGGCGCACAGATTTCGGATGAGTCAAGAGACATGAGACGCGACGGGGTAAAGACACGTGATACTGGAAAATCGGCCAGGCGAGGCCGCGTCGGCGATCAAGAACCGTGCGTGGGTCTGCGTTGAAGGTCAAAAAGGTAAATTAAACGCTTGTGGTGCGTGCGGTTTGTAGCGAAATCATGCACCGCAGCAATTGAGATCGTGAATCGTGAATGAAGGATGGCTGGAGGTATAAGCGCGAATTGCACCCATGCAGCCTTCAAAATTCGTGGACTCGCGACTCTCTCTAGATCCTTTGTGATCACACGCAAATCTGCTTCTGTTCCATCCTCGCTAGCCGAACGCGGAGGCGGAGCGTTGCGGGCCCGAAGATTCGATGGCGCAACCGAGGATCAAGCACCTGCCCGCCTTGCCAGCTGCAGAGGTCTGCACGGGCGGCCCTGCATGAATTTGAATATGAGATCGATTTTGAATTGAATTTCAACGAGCACGATGAAGCCGACAAATTAATCAAGAATGTGAATGCTGTGCACCTTAGGCACGTGCCTGCGTGCTTGCTTAAATGAAACGGAGAGCTTCGATTTTGAAAGTCTCGCCGAGCAGTCACAATCAGAATCTTGCGCCTGAATCGTGAGTGTCGTATTTCTTCGGGATGCAAGGAGAGCAAAGAGTTTCAGTCAGAGTGATGGCAGGTCAGGAGGTCGAAGGAGTGGTGAGACAGTAGTCAGCAGCAGCGTGCACGATTCTTGAGGTGAGCGTAGGCGCGGGTAATCGGAACGTACCGCATGTCTGGATCCCCGGACTCGGCATGCAGCGCTTTACGGTACAGTCAAAAGGGTGCATGCATACAGTACCAACAGCCAGCCACCGTAAGTCAGCTAGCTGATTAGCAGATTGCAACACGTGATGATTCTTGATTCAGGATTCTTGGTAGAATTCCGGAAATCTCTGAACGC